CCCTGCAAACCAAACCAATAGCATTCTCAACATCTAAACTGAAACCAACACGAAATAACTAAAGCTAAAATTAAGCACCTGTCATGCCAACAGAAGTGTCAAAGAGCTGTCCAAATTCAATTCTTGCATCTGCTAGGACCTGTCTGATATTGTCTTCTGTTAGATCGAGAGGCTGTGAAGGCTGAAATGTTGCTGCTGATATGGTTGTGAATCTCTTTCTGGTTGTTGTTGGGTTTGTACAGATCCTCAGCCTCTGGCTTTGTGTGTGGTTGTGGTTAAGGGTTTTCAGGGTTTGGGTTTTGGTGATGTGATGACAAGCAATGGGGAGGAGGGCTGGTGTTGGGGTTGTTGATGTGATTTGGGGGTGGTTGTGATGAAGAACTGGTTTGATATTCATCCTTCCTCACTCTTGCAAAGTTTTTCCTTCGATTGTCTTTCAAAGGCAAGCGCCCGCTATGGATGAACCAAGACCAACCAACCAGTGGAGAAATGGATAAGGAGCAGTTTTTTAATGGATAGAATTCATTCATTGCCTGGTTCTAGTAGGTCTTAAATTGGGTTTTATGGGCAATTTCTGCTGAGGCATCTAAACCCATGGATGAGACTGAAACTGGAGACAAGAGCTATCCCAGTTTCATGTTAATCTGACTATTTAAGCCATCAAATTCATAAGGGTTATTTGCAATAATGCAAAGCCATCAAATTCATAACTCAGATCTTGTTCATTACATATTTTCACGGGTGGGTTGATTGTAGTATCTTTTCCTCCCTTCAAATTCTGAATAAGATGATGATTTGAAGATTAGTTGTCTACCCTTCAAACCCCAACCAATCATCACAGCAGAAAATGAGAAATATGGGAGCAAAGACGATTATTCTCTCCATCTTATAATTTACTTGGAAATAATACAATTACATAGCCTCAGCCTGCTTCCACGGTGCCAAATAAACTTTCCTGCTTAAAACCTACACACCATTGTAATTTGTAACTGCATTATTATGGTGCATCAAGCTCCTAGGCTTTTGACCCAGTTGGACCATATCATATGAACAGAGACACGATAAAACGGCAGGGGTAACGAACCACGGAATTGCATGCTTGCATGCTACTTGAATTCTCTGAAAATCTGGTTAAGTCCCATTCATTGGGTTTATTGTGACAGGCTGCTGCTCAAATTACCAAGAACTGAAAAAGAAATCACACAAATCCAAAACTCGTTTACAACTCCCTATCTGAATCCGACATAGATATGCAGTGTACTACCACTATATCGCGGAGAAGTACTCTTTGCTGAGCTTGGGGTCTGGCTTCATGGATTTCTCCCCAGGCTTCCACCCAGCAGGGCAAACTTCATCAGGATTGTCCTGAACGTACTGCAAGGCCTGCAGGATCCAACCCAGGCAAAGAAAAGAAGTGACAAAAAGCAGTTAGAAAATGTAATAGGCAACACAACAAAGAATTTCTCAGATATAAGGCAGATCTTGGAAACTAAATCATCCCATTTCTATCTTGGCCTTGATGAATATGTTTACCTGGAGCGTTCTCTTAGTCTCATCCACACTACGGCCAATGGCAAGATTGTTAATGGTGGAGTGTTGAATGACACCTTCCTTGTCAATAATGAAAAGTCCTCTCAATGCAATTCCCTATCACAGCAAAACCAAACTTCTAAGTAATCCA